TGTTATAAAATTATGTGTTAGATGCTAGGAATGCTTATTTTAATGATTCTTATACCTGACATCAAAATAAGATGAATAACTTACAAACGAAGAGAAATAGATTGTTGAGATCCACCAAACTTGATGAAATTCATTATAACCGCCTTTGGGTGATTAGATATGGAGACTTTCCAGGTTTATGAATATTTTAATATGCTATTGCAAGCAAATACTTCAACGGAACATCACTTTTTGGAACATTTCTGAGACTATAAATGGGTGTTCGCTTTAAATTCTATTGGAGGTAAACTTGAGTGATCTATAAATAATGGACACTGAGTATATGTTTATTCGATTGGAAGTCAAGTATATTATCGTTTTAGTAGGTTGGTACCTACTTAAAAGAACATACCAAAATTTACTCTACTTCTATGACACTGCAATGAACCCCAAAACATGTTAGATTTTTTTCTCCATAGATCCAGCTTCAAATCCTTTGCTCGATTCAATTATTCAACAATTGCAGGAGATGTTAGATTTAAATAATATCCTACAAAAGACATTTCGATATGCAAGGGATAGACAGAATGACACCACTGTTCAACAAGTTGGAATTAAGTTGCTTGCTAAAAGATATGGGGATGGTAGAGAATATGATTGGCCATCTGAAAATGAGGTCGCTACTTTAATTGTTGATGATAATGGAGAGCAAACATTTTCTTCTTATATTGTTGCCCATTATCAAAGTAATGAACTCGAACTAATTAGTATATATCATCCAAGTTTAATGGCTTTGCAATATCTCAAATTATTACCACATGGCAAGGATGATTGACATCCAAATATTCCACATGGCATTGAGGATGCAGATAGATACAATGAGAAGAATGTGACCCAATGTGATTTTTACAGTTATAGACTCCGACAAGACTGGAAGAATCAAACGCATTGCTATTGTGTGCAAAGTTGTTCCAACAATATGTTGTCAATGCACATGCATTGGTTGAGGCAGAGCGTTTGGGTTAGATTAAAAAAATCAAACATTCGCGACAACATTACGATCAAGGTCTTTTGGATTCTTACTTGAGAGATGCTTCATATACCAGTTTAAGTGGAAAACCTGTGATTTTAGCTTCATCACATACATATAGTCATCTATATAAATATTAATGCTTCCAGAATGCTATGACAATTCGTAGATATCCATATCATTTCATTACATTTACATGTAATCATGTTTTGCCTGAGATTCAATGCATGCTTGATTTGATAAAGACTACTACTAGAAAATATCCTAATAGAGTTTATGTCCTCACACGATTTTTCAAATCGAAGCTACATCATTTCTTGAAGTAGATTTTGGAGAAGAAAATTTTTGGGGAAAATATGCAAGTAAGTTATTTATGCTTTGAGCCTGGCCTATTGGACGGGTCATGATTTTTGTGTTCTAATAGTTTATATGTATCTAATGATAATATTTTTGAAACATATGATATTGTTGTATATTTTTTTTTTCCAAATATGATATTGTTGTATATGAATATGATAGTTGTACAAAATTAAATGCTATAGATATAATTTAGAAGCTCTTTAAATGCCTACCACATGCTCATTTATTAGTTTCCCTTGCTGCAGAAGATAAATTATATAGTCCTTCATAAATAGATTTAGTTATATTCTCTGAAATCTAATATCATAAAGCAGATCTTGAATGTTATAATGCAGTTGCAAAAGTAAGTTTCATGGTCCATGTGATTTTTAAGGATCTAAAGCTCCATGTACAACTAATGGTGCATCTCTCTAAATATTTATCGAAGGAAATCTGCAGCCAAACAACCATTGATGGGAATGGTTTTGCTAGATATCCACGCCGAGAGAACAACAAATCGTATATGGTGAATGGAGTCTCACTAGATAATCGATTTGGTGCTCCTTATAATAGATACCTATTGTTGCAATTTCATGCACGGATCAAAGTCATGTTTTGCAACAAATCAAGGTTAGTTATTCATCTCTTGAATTTTTAATATCCTCATTAAATTGCTTTTTCAAATTAAATATTTTTAATAATAATAAAAAATTCCTGCATTAAAAATAAAGCACGAGCTTTTTGGACTCTTTGTTAAGTACGAACCCAGAAAATAAAATCTCCGAATTTTGTTAGATTATTTCCAAGTTTTTTTAATAACTATTATATTATTTAAATTTTAAGTCTCTCATTAAATAAATTTTGTATGGAACTTCTTATTATATAACAAAAACATAAAAAAAATTACATGAATCTTATATAACTACAATTACCCTTTACATAAAATGTTAATTCAAGTAAACATGAAAAGGTAAAATTAGTGGATCCAAAAGCAGTTGTTCAGATTTAATTGCTCAAATGATGAGGGATGTTACCACTCACCACATTGTCTGATAAGGAAAGTGTAGCAGAGTTTTGGCCAATCTGAATTTGTTACTCTTGGTTATAGGATTTGCAGTTTTTGTTCTGGAGGTATAGCTGAATAGATATGTCAAATTGGTTTGGTTAGTTGACTGTTGCTTAATTGGCAGGGTTTGTTGCTAATGGTTTTGGTGATTTTTTATTATATACAAGTTAACCGATTCATAAAAGAAAGGTGAAATTGGGAGAGAAACGACAACAGTAATCCCCCCCCCCCCAAATATGGAACTTCAATTATGATTATTATCAAAATCACAATGGACCACTAGGCTAGCTGAAATCAACAAAACTAAAAGAAATTTTGGAATAAACTATAATTTTACTATGGTGGAGATAATAGATTCGGTGTTAGAGATGATGATGATGTTCAGAAGCAGAAATAAATTGTTTATGAGGAAGATATCAAGTGGGTGACGGGGAGAAAAAACAAATCCAACATATATTCATAATTTGGACGAGGTAATTTCTATTCTAATGAAAAAGATGATTAATATTTGCAAATAAATTTTACCATCAAACTTTTGTGCTCAATGAAATGCTTGAAAATAAGAAAGAGATAATTGAAATGCAAGATAAGAAGGAAGAGTCAATTGATATTGGAGATAAATGTGTCTGTAATGGAGATGAAGACATTACTGATATTTAACAATGAGGTTGTTGCTCATGTCGGAGGCAATGCAATCAAGCTAGAAAGAAAACATGCAGTAATCTCTTACGATGAAGAGTAATTAGAAAAGTCATTTTAATTGGTCTTTAGGAGTCGATTCCCTTGAGATTTCTCTTTCATTTTCGTAAAAGGGTTTTAGTCCATTGGTCATTAAATATCGAAAAAAATGTGATGTTGATCCTTTTGAATTGTTGAACTAATTTACTAATTTGGATTCTCTTATTCTCCAAATCAATTCGAACGTTTCAAGTATTTGAAGAACTTAGATTATCTTATACCAATGTGTTATTTGAATACCAAAAATCACTGTTATCTACGTGATTGACAAATGAATCCGGCCGACTGGCCGGGCCTGTGACTAGTTAAATATAGATATACTTGGACTCCTTACCATTATTCTATTTAATTGTTAATTAACAATACTGTAACAGTCAAAATTCATAAGGAAAGAACTCCATAAATGGCCACGCGCATAAGTTAATAAAAAAACAGAACCAACTTTGTTATCTCTCAAAATCGGTCCAAATCATTTCCTTAGTCCATTTTTTTAAGAAGCATTGTAAGTCAATATTAACCACTAGATCAATCAAGAGCGATTGTTAACGGTGAAAAAACAAGTTAATGGGTTGCGTATGACTTCTATGAAGGCGACGATTAATATTACGGTATGTACCACTTCAAACACTGTTCAAACGAGGTTGTTTGGTGTATGAGGAATCTACGTTACCTTATACTACTCCTATGGAGATTCTTTGCAAGCTCTGCGACTACAACTAAGACTACTTTTATGAAGGATCCTACATGGAGGAGAGCTCCGCAAACTACAGAGAAAATTGAAAAGGGGACAGTTGAAACAAGTTGTTTGTGTTTTGGCTTTTGATTGTCTACTTGCTCCAGAAGGTTGCTTCAAGTTTTGTTACCAGAGTTGTCCAACTGCTATCTCTCTTTCCTCCTCCACGCTAGCTAGTTGTCGTTGTAAGTCTCTGGACACGAGATAATATCATAACACTCATCCACTATGTTGTCACTTTGAATTGGATGGTAACCATAACATTGCATGGTCAATACACTTCAACTTGATTGGTACCCTCTAGTTGGTATCCATGAATGAGGGATGGTACTGTCCACTTTGGAGTTGAATGGTGTCCACTATATGAGATGCTACCATCCATTTTGGGATAGAGAATTAGGGATGATATCCATGATATTTGGGATGGTACCATTCAATATAGGGTTGGATGGCGACGACCTACTATGTTTGGTACATTAACCATCGTTGATAGCTACCTCATACCTCACTACTATCCACCAAACATATGGTCCAACCAGATATTTAGGTAATCCAATGTACATATAAGTCGACTACTTAAAATGGCCCAACTGTCCATAAATATCCATGTATTAATAAATGACATTTATTTTGGTGTAAACAAGTGCCCCACAACTTAGTTCATTAGAAATTATGAACTAAGTTGTCGACATCCAGTGCACTAGATATCAAACTATATGAATCAAACAGTGGCTTGCATAATCATGACTTGCTTGACACCAAATCACATATAGAGTCCTTTACCTTCATGGCCAAATTAGTTATGGTAGTAATTTATCTCACTTCCAACTCTCACTCAGTCAAAGACACCAACAAATAATAATTTTTCTTCACTTATTCAGCTGTAAGAAAAAGCCCATCCTATTTGAAAATTGGGAATGAAAATTTTATTCGTGAAGAAAAATGTTGAAATGACAAATCTAATTAATTGGCGAATTCAGTTTTATGTCCTGGGCTGACTTGTCATCAGGTCAACGACCCGTCCAAGTAGTGGGCTAGAGTGGAAAAGGCCCAATAAGCTCAGAAGAAAAACAAAGATAGTTTCGAATTTGGGCTCATATGTGATAACGTGAACACTAGCCGCCAGCCAACCAAACGCCTGCAGATCCGATCTCCGTCGTCAGTTGGCAACTCTTCCCCCGCCGAAATCCAGTCACAGCAACCCAACACCCAGGCAGTGGCGGCAACCCATCTCTATCATCCTCCAGGTTCGTGCTTCTCTTCCTGCTTCAAATCGAAATTCGAGTCTCACGTTACGATTCTGATACGCTTCCATTACGGTTGAGAGTCTCTCCAATGGTTTATGTTTGCGTTTCGTTAATTTAGGGTTTTCCGATTGGTAACAGAAGTAGAAAAGCGGAAAGATGGACATAATCTCCCAATTACAAGAACAAGTAGACACACTCGCTTCTCTCGCATTCAACACGATCGGAACGCTGCAGAGAGATGCTCCCCCTGTGCGCCTGTCGTCCAATTACCCCGAGCCACCGCCGCCGCCGGCCAACCCTGCGGAGGATATTGCGGAGCAGCCTAAGCAGATGAGCGCTGCACTCGTCAAGGCTGCTAAGCAGGTAAAATGACTCTTTTCATTTCATGTTGTTGATGCTGTTTATCTTGCTGCAACGAGTTTGAAAAAGAAACTCATTTCTTCGTGTTGGGTTCTGGCTGAAACTTTTGGGTTTGTGATTTAGTTTGATGCTCTGGTGACTGCCCTTCCATTGTCAGAGGGTGGTGAAGAAGCTCAATTGAAAAGGATCGCTGAGCTCCAGGTTTTGCAATGCTGCTTTGCTCTTTAGCCCCGTTCTTTTTCCCTAATTGTTGTTTGTGCTCATTCAATTCGACTTTGTCTCTTAGGCTGAGAATGATGCTGTGGGTCAAGAACTACAGAAGCAACTGGAAGCTGCTGGTGAGTTTCACCTCGACTTGGCTGTCTTTTCATGCCACAATCTTGCATTTTCCTCTTAGCATTTTTCTTCAAGGCCTTCGGATATATAACCCATCTTGGTGATGAATGTGATTGCAGAGAAAGAGCTGAAACAGGTGGTTGAGCTATTTGGTCAGGCCACAGACAACTGCCTTAACTTGAAGAAACCAGATTAGTGAATGTTGAGCCCAAGAATGAGGGAATTCGTTCGTTAACTCGCTGCACAGTTTTAGAAAACGACATGGGAGGTTTGGTTTCAGTCTTTCAGAACCCATTCAAGTCTCTGATTTCTTGTTCGCATCCAATATCTGTAGCTAGTTTAGGCTCTAAAGCATATTTTTGGTAGTAGTACGTGTAATCTTCATGCAAAACACACTACACCTGGTCAGAAGGGACAGTATCTAACCATATGTATTGTTTCTTCTTGTGCTGTTTCTGTATGCGGTAGGATTTATTGGTAGGAACATGAACTCATAGCCTCTATAATGCTTGATGCTGGTGTCAATTTTGGTTCACTTATCAATGTACCGAGTGAAACATTTGTAGATAAAGCCACGGTGCTGATATGGAATCAATCCGTTTGGTTGAGTTTATGTTCAGGAGTCCAATTGGGTCGAACTCGTCTCACTGTACAATAGCAAACAAGTATGACAGAGACGTTCCATACAAACGTTTTGTCCCAAGTCTTGAATTTCTTGTTTGCATCATTACATTACATGCCTGAATCCTAGCACCTCACCATCTCCATTTTGATTCGTCTGTCTCGATTACTTGTCTCGTCCTAGTCACACTAGGAAATCAATTCTTCTTAAGCTCGAGCCGGTTGAATGTTTTGAGGAAGCATGGGGGCGAAACGGGTTTACCTCGCCCCGTACAAGGTAGGGTGTGGGTAGGAGAACAAAAACCCACATCGTATCATGGGGCGGAACAGGACAAGATAAGTAAAGTGTTATAGGTGAACCGATCCATTGTATCCCTATCTGTACCTGTACGTTGCAGTTAGGGCCGGAAGTTTGGTACGGGTATTAGGACTTCTTCCAGAAATACCATTGTTTAAAAAAAGAATTTTAAAAATACAACCCAATCCCAAAAAATTCCAAAAATACCACCTTTTTCAAAAACCGCCACCCCACCCTGCGGTTTACACGAAAACCGCTTGTCGGGGGCGTGGTTTTCTATGCAAACCGCGGGGCTAAGGGGCGGTTATAAAAAAAAAATTTGGACCAAACCGCTGGGTGGGATGGCGGTTTGGTAAAAAAATAAATTTGGACCAAACCGCTGGTGGGGTGGCGGTTTGGCCCAAAACCGCCACCCCACCCAGCGGTTTGGTCCAAAATTTTTTTTTCTGATCAACTTCTAACTTCGGCCGAAACTTCAAACAAACGCAACTTTGCACTCGAGTATCCGATCGTAGCGATTTTTTTTTCATTTCGCATAACTTTTCAAGATCTACAACTTTTGCAAGGATGAAATTTTCAAAACAGGAATTATTTGTGGATATACGGGACCTTGAGAATAACTTTATCTTTACTTTTCATAAATCCATGTACATTTTTAAATTATGATTATATTAAAAGTTGTAGATCTTGAAAAGTTATGTGGAATAAAAAAAAAATCACGACGTTTGGATTTCGGAGCACAAAGTTATGGCCGCCCAAAGTTTGACGAAAGGCGAGACCCGACAGTTTGCGGCTTGCAAGATCTCAAAAAGTTTGCAGCCTCCATTTTTTGAATCCGAATAACTTTTTGAGATCTTGCAAGCCGCGAACCGCCGGGTCTCGCCTTCATCTCGAAAAAACGTCATTTGCAACTCCGAACGAGTCTTTTTTTGATTTCGTCAAACTTTGGGCGGCCATAACTTTGTGGTCCCAAATCCGAATGTCATGAATTGTTTTTGATTCTGCATAACTTTTCAAGATCTACAACTTTTTACATAATCATAATTTCAAAATGTACATGGATTTGTGAAAAGTAAAGGTAAAGTTATTCCCAAGGTCCCGTATATCCACAAATAATTCCTGTTTTGAAAATTTCATCCTAGTAAAAGTTGTAGATCTTGAAAAGTTATGCGAAATGAAAAAAAGATCGTTACGATCGGATACCCGAGTACAAAGTTACGTTCGTTTGAAGTTTCGGCCGAAGTTAGGAGTTGATTGAAAAAAAAAATTTTGGACCAAACCGCTGGGTGGGGTGGCGGTTTTGGGCCAAACTGCCACCCCACCCAGTGGTTTGGTCCAAATTTTTTTTTATAACCGCCCCTTAACCCCGCGGTTTGCATAGAAAACCGCGCCCCCGACAAGCGGTTTTCGTGTAAACCGCAGGGTGGGGTGGCGGTTTTTGAAAAAGGGTGGTATTTTTGGAATTTTTTGGTGTTGGGTGGTATTTTTGGAATTCTTTTTTTAAACAGTGGTACTTTTGGATTTTTTCCCGGGTATTAGGGATATACCGAATATCGTATCGAATTTGTATATATTTGATATTACCGAATACACGTATTATTTCGTGGGATTCAGATTGAGATTGAATTTCAATTGTTATTCAGTATTAGGGATTACAGGATTGAGATCGGTATATATCGAAATACCGATCTATACCGGAATATAAGCTAGTGTGTATTTTATCCTCTTAACTAGACTCTCTCATTCACTACTACGCGACCCTCGACCACCAAGAGTGTCATTTAATTATACAAAGATCATTACATCACTATTTCACACTAGTATTAGTCGTCTCTCAACCTCAAATTTGTCAAATTAAAGATTACCAACTACAAGAACTTGAGATGTTAGCTCTAGGCAACTCTAGACTCTTTGCTTAGTCTCTTTGTCGTAAATTAAACAATAAAATTTAATTTATATATTTACTTATTAATTGCAAAGGTAATTAATTTTGTATTCGATAATACCGATTGAGTATCGATTGGGTTACCGAAATATTTAGAGATTGGGATTGGGATACCGAAATTATAGGGAATTGAGATTGATTTTAGGGTGTAATTCGGTATTCGGAATTTCGGTATTTGATATTGGGATACCAATACCGTACCGATTTCCACCTCTAGTTGCAGGTAGACACCCAAAATTAAATGTTTGTTTACTGCCGTACAAGTTAAAAAGGTGAGGGGAAAAAAGGGAGGGAAAAGTCCACATTTTCGACGTCGTCGTTTCTCTGTTTGACATAGGATTCCTGATGATTGAGCGAGAACAAGAAAGAGATAGAGAAATGGAATAGAAGAAGAAGAAGAAGAGGGAACCTTAGAGTAAGGAAACAAGAAAATGCATCCCTCATAGCCTACTCACAGACGAACACGTGGCCTTTCTCTCTTGCACCTTCTTATTCTCTCTCTATCTAACGTGTGGGTCCCGTTTTCCTACTATTTTCCTCATTTTTATTTTTATTTTCATTTTATTTCCATTTCCCCTTTTTCTCTTCTCGACAAGGTTGTCAAACCAGTTTAAGTCGTTGAGCTGGTCAAGCAAGGGGTTTGAGGTTTAATGGTCTGATCGGGGTCTGGCCGGTTTGAGCCGTTGTAGACGTTTTCTAAATATATATACAAATAAGATCATAATTATAGATTTAATGACTGAAATGAAATTATCTTACATGTATCTATTAAAAACTTATTTTCCACAGCTTAAATCTACCTAACATTCATGACCCACCCACCATCTCCCTTCCTTCATTCCTACTCTCTTCTTCTCCCTCTTTAGGGGTCAGACATGAGGGTTTTCTGAAGGCCATTTTGAAGCCTAACTTAGATCGAACCAGGTCCAACCGGGGGTCCGATAGGGGGGTTTGACAACCTTACTTCTTGAAGACCCCAACTTCTTCTCTCTCTCTTTCCCCACTGGCCACCTTATCAATTACTCCATTAGTCCATTTAGATCAAGGCCGAAACTTCTAGAAACAACAAAAACAGACCCGCCCCGCTCTCCTTCCTTTCCTTCTCTCTGTGTTTGAAATTTGGCAAGAGATTCATCACCTTGTCTATCCTTTCGCCCAACTGTTGCTTCTCCTTCTGGATTTAATATCTCCTCCCTGTTTGGTCGCTGAGAAAATTCCATGGTAAAGTCGTTGATCTCGCACCAGCAAGCCTCGTCTTTCTGCTTATTAATCGCTGCTGCTATCCAAAGCTCTGAAGGATTAGGAAACCGACCTCCCGTGACAAGTTGAATCTCCTCTGTTCTTATTTGGTAGAATTTTTTTTTTAATCTTGATTCTCTTTGTGCGGTATCTTTTATTAATTAATGAACGTTTCCTTGATCTTTCCAGGGATCCAGACGTTAACTTGTTGTTCCTATTCAAATCAGAATGTCTTGTTTTCAGATTCGTGGATCTAAGGCTCCAGAACTGATATCGTCGTCGCAGGTCGAACCAACCGGCGAGCCTGCAGCTGTTCCTGTTCCCGGCGCTGCCGCAAGTGGCAGCGGTGGTAGCGGTGGAGGCGCCGGTGGAGGAACAGGAGAGACTGCAAATTCGCAGAGATCTATCTCCACTCCTTTTCTCACCAAAACCTACCGGCTTGTCGATGATCCGGACGTCGATGATCTGATTTTGTGGAACGAAGATGGATCCGTGTTCATCGTCTGGCGTCCCGCCGAGTTCGTGAGAGACCTGCTACCTAACTACTTCAAACACAACAATTTCTCCAGCTTCGTTCGCTAGCTGAATACATATGTAAGCTCGCTCTCCCCTTTGAGCAGTTTTTCTCCCTATGAGAAGAGCGAATTCTGAATTGGCATTTAGATTTGTAGGGATTCAGGAAAGTGGTGCCAGACCGATGGGAATTCGCCAACGATTGCTTCAAAAGAGGAGAGAAAGCTCTGCTCTGGGACATCCAACGCGGTAAAATCGTCGTTGCTGCTGCTGCCCCCTCTCCGACGGCGGCAGCGACGGTGGCCGCGATTCCGACGGTTGTGAGGACCATCTCCCCTTCCAATTCCGGAGAGGAGCAGGTGATTTCATCCACGTCCTCGCCTGTGGCGAACGCAATCCTGCGGACGACGAGCTGCACGACGACGCCAAAGCTTCTGAAGGAGAACGAGATGATGAGGAGGAGAACACGCAGCTGAACCACGAGCTGACTCAATTGAGATGCTTATGCAACAATATCGTCTCCCCGATGACGAGCTGACTCAAGTTGGACGGGATTGGATGAGGAAAGGCATGTGTCACATCGCAGGAAGTAAGATGACGAAAGGCCCCACTCAGTTGTGGGATTCACTTCGAGAAGCAGCTGTAGTTTGTCCGTTTTGGGGAAAGTGGGAAAGGAAAGTCGACATCTGTGACTGTGAAAGTGGAGAATCAAAGCTTAGTGAAAAGTGAACAAGATCGAGATTGGAAGACGAAAGAATCTTCGTGGAGCCGAGAGAACATAAGAGAGAAGAAACGACGGCGTTGCACGATTGAATTTTTCCCGAATGTGAATTGTCTTGGCCGTAGGGCGGAATTAGGCGGTTAGGTCAATTGCGTGCCTGAAAGGAGACGGTTAGGTTTTCTCTTTTTTATGCAACTTACAAAGTGGAAAGAGTAGGTTAGGACCCTAGGAGTAGACCTAGGAGGGTTCTGAGTGGGTTGCCATGAAGTTTATTATTGGTCAAGACTGCCTAATACAAAGGTTGTGATTTAAGAATTTAAGGGTATAATATGTAAATAAATACATATGTATGTAATTATTGGAAAAAATATGCAAATACACATGTTATTTATTTATTTATTTCCAAAATATACATGTTTGGGCATCACGGCGGTCGTCAATCGCAGTGAATGCATGCACCGCGGTAGACGAAAGCGGTGAATGCATCACCGCGGTTGACGGCCGCGGTGAATGACTGACTTAACACTGAAACTTCAAACGAACGTAACTTTGGGCTCGGTCATCTGATTGTAGCGAAATTTTTTTTGATCTTGCATAACTTTTCAAGATCTTTCAATCTATAACAAGAATTCATCCAAAAAAAATATATCGTTTGCTACTCCGAACGAACAATTTTTCTATTTTGCCAAACTTTGAAAGTCCATAATTTTTTTCACTCATGTGGGTTGATTGGTTATTTTATTTTGGACTGCCTATTTGGATTCAAACTTGACTTTCTATCACTATTCTTTTCTTAAACATCCCCACGAGTCACAAACTTTCTTCTTCCTTTTTTTTTTTATTATGAAAACCTGATAACCCTTCTCAAGGCAAAAAATAGAGCAATGTATAGGTAGAACATAAGAACGTGAAATGCAAACACAGGGAAAACAAATAAATACAGTAATCCATCACAAGATTTGAGATCCATTGACGATGAGACTGACGGAACAGGGAATGAGAGAAAAATAGAGATAATATTGTGTGTGGTATTTTAATTTGATAGAGAGAGAGAATTATGTTTTTGTGGTATTTCACTATGATGGAGAGAAATTTTTGTCGGTGGAATTGATCAGATTGTATGAATTTGAGTTCTATGAGATGTATTAGCGGAAATGCTGCTTGTTCAAGTACTTTCATGTTGAAACTTATATTAAAAAAGTGACAAAAATATATTTGAGAACTATTTTTATAGTGAGAATTTTCAAGTACTTTTGTATCTCGAAGTATGCGAACAAATATTATTACAATACAACTTTGATTCCATTTGTGATTGTATTTTGCACTCGACTAAAGGAACGATGAAATTATTTGATCGATTACATGCTAGTACGTACGAATTCCATACTCCAAATTACATCCAACAATACGACTTCCGTGATTAGATGCACACGACGCTTTACAGTTCAACTTTTGTGTACGTATAGATGCATAACATTGCCATTCACTTTATTTGCGTTGGGCTCCGTATAATTATCCTCTCTCAATGTCTCCTCGCTAGAGAAAAAAGCAGAGATTCGGCCTCCATCTATCATGCATTATTACTCAAGAGCATCTGGTGACCAAAGGGAACCAGCGTTCATGGAGAGAAGACTGGTGAGAGATCATGAAGAGTAGGAAGACAAGCAACAGCGCCACCCCCCACGGCGACCCGCCGGCACGGTGGAGGGAATCCCTCTCCGGCAAGTAGGGGACGAAGAACCGGCTTGACCAGCCCTTGTTTCTGCTGTTGGCGTCGGAGGTCGTCGACGGCGACAGGAAGTGAAGGAGGAGGAGCAGAATGAGCGGGGAGAGCATGAAGAATAGCTTCACCTGGTTCATCGTTTCCTCAAAAGCTGACTCGTAGTTGACGTACCACGTGAAAACGACGACGGAGAGGAGTATCGATATGAAGAAGAAGAAGTGGAGTGGCATGGCCACCAAGTTGGAGAGAAATTCCCAGTAGTATGAGTGGTAGTATTTGTTCCTGTTTCTGAAGTACTGTCCGGCCATGATCGATGATATGATGGAATCCTAACGATTTTTATGGGAGGAGGAGAGTGCCCTTTCTAGCTTGTATTTTAGGGTTTCGGTTTTTTTGTGTGTGGAGAGATGGAGATGGGTTTGATGAGGAAGGAACTGTGTTTGTGGCTCAGAGGGGGAGTGAACAGTGGTGGGTTTTATAAGACCATAGAGAGAGACTTTGTAATTACTAAATCAAGGGGTAGTTTGAACGAGGAATTCTAATGAATCAGTCTGATACAATTGTCTCGTTTTGAGCCAATTGTGCTAGATTGATCCGTTTGGCAGCAGAAAATTTAGATGAAATAATTTGGTCTGGGAAATTCTAAATTGACTTATTTTGAGCCAATTACAATTGTCTGGGGTGAGGGCAAGTAATCTGAATTGACTCGTTTTAAATGACTCGTTTTGTAAAATGAAATAATTCGCCAAATTTTCTCATTTTATAATTGATCCATCCAAACGAACCCAATAAAATTTTGTTCTCAATCGATGATTCTTTCTTCAATAGAAAAGGAGAAAGGAAGCCAAAGGAGAAGATAGCGCATGCAGAGTTGGGTTATGCGCGTTTGCCATATTGGAGCGGAGCGGAGCCCCACAACTGGGATGGTGCGGCGGGCATATCTAGCAAAGTGCTTACAATTCATGCAAAAGGCAAAAGGGGGAAAAGTAAAGTGAGACTGAAGTTTCTAGCTAATAGTATATTCATTTCAAAGGAGTGGTTCTCTTCTATCCATTTTTTGGAAAAGTTGTAGTTGGATCGATTAAGTGATCATTTCAAAGGTGAACTGATCATACTTTCCCTCAGAGTTGAATCGAATTGGTATAAGACTAGTTGAAAATTGTAGAGGAGGAATAATCGAAACGACTGTTTTTTTTTAATGAAAATTTCGAGTGCTTAAAATGTGCCCCAATCTTCAATCATTAGTACCTAGTGAGGTTCAGTCCAAGAGAACCAAATATAAGAAGTACCGAGGTGCAGTGAAAACGTGTTCTCCAATTGACAGAGAATTGCTACAAATTTAGCTCTCTATAAATGTGCTCTACGCACGCCTATCAAGGTAGAGCCAAAAGACAGTGGATCTTAGCCGTTAGTGCGAAATATAATGTTGGTGGCTCGCTGATGCAGACTCTATCAAGTTAATAGATGTATGTTAATATGTTTGTAGAATAACGTTGAGACCATGTGCAACTTTAGCTAGCTATGCGAAAGAAATGGAACTCCCACCTCCGCAAGAGCATAGGGGAAAAAAAAAAAAAATGAATGAAGCGACAATCGTTCCCCCTCGCAATGTCGCAGCCTGCCATGTTGGAAGGGGAGTGAACAACCGATCCATCAGTGTTAAGGCTCATTCGCCTGGTTAGTCTTCATTTGCCCATCCTTACAATACTTTATTTACTTTCACCTAATTTGACTTAAAATTCATCCTTGTGCTATTTAAGGGTGAAATATTGACGGAACTTTGGTTGAAAAGGTTCGAACTTTCTAATAAAAATTAAACGTTTGATTTTGTATTTTCATCATCTACAATTAGGCTTTAGCATTAACCACCAGCAAGTCAATCTTGCCTCGGGAAATAAACTATCAAGCTCTCTCTCAATTCTCAAAGACCGTGCTTGGAAAAGGTGCATTATCCACACTCATATAACAGTGGATTTCTTTGTTAATCACCTGAATATTCAATGCATTTTGAATTATATGCTGGGCAATATTTAGAAACCGATCATTTATCCTTAGGTTTTCTATGTAAAAATACAGTCGAATCAAATTTTTATGAACTTTATCTTCTTGGTGGCCCCTGCAGGATTGTGTGTCCGATTGAATTACTTCTATGTGCCAAATATAAATAGAACCCAGATTTGTCATCCGATTTCTCTTCGTAACTAAAACAATTGTGTAAACCATATAGTTATCGGTTGCAAATTTCATGCCCAGATAAGATATTGTAGGGCCTGGGGGATTTGGAGAAAACTGCGTGTAATACGACGCTGGAATATAGGATTTTCGATTCACCGACCGGAGGAAAGCAGCTTACAGGCCCACATCAAGCAGGGAAATTCCCAAATGACAGCCCAAGAGAAGAGAGATTCGCGCCCCCAGCTGGGTCTCAATTCCTTATTAACCCAATTCAATTCAGAATCCATAAAAGTGATGCCGATTGGATTGGAGTTGGACCATAAATATGGTATTGGTATTGTGTAAACTAGCACCGGACCCGGCCCTTTGGCGAGAAGAATTTTGTCGAGAAATATGATATATAACAATGGATATATAATAGAGGATTTGAAATGCACAAAATGATTGTTTTCTAACTTAGTTATGCACATAACATTTTTGAAAGTGATCCAAATATGCATAATGTGTTTAGACCTCCATGAAAGTGAAAAATATAATATAAGCATTACTTATAATTATTGAATGAAAAAAGAAATAAATATAACTAATTATGATCCATTACTTAATTAAACCATATAGTTGAATATTAGAGTTGTTTCTCATAATACATACATAATCAACCTTTAAGATGAAAGAAAATGTTTCTCATAGAGTTTAGTATGTCCTTTAAGTTTTTCCGAATAGAGAACATTATTTTTTACCACACCATTGGTAATGAATCTGAAGTTGCTTGATTTCAAATATATAGGACATGATGTTAAATTGTTGCTAATAGTTGGTTGGACAATATGTTGTGTATGAATTTCCAAAATTATTCTCAGATCGCAGACATGTCTAACAATAATGTAGTATTTTCATGCAACAAATATTTTTTCATGAAATAATTCAATAAATAAAAATATATGAAAATCGTATGAAAATCTTACATGAAATATATAGTACTCATTAAGTTGATGAATGAGCAAGGGTATAAGTAACATACATTTATTTTAAAAATATAGAAGTTGCAAAGTGTCTTTTGGGTTGAATGAGATCGCATATTCTCATTATCGCTAATTGACTTATGCTTTTTAAAATAGATAGTTCAAAACGTGACTTAAAACTTTTGTTTCCACCAGTGTAAAAGAATTGTTTGAACCAAATTTTTACAATAGTATCAAAAAATTTGGTAACAGAGTATTTTATACTGAAATCATAATTTAACTGTGGTTCAACCATTTCATATTGCTAAATATCACCTATCGATTTAGCCTATGGCGTGAAGTTTTATGGTCGAACCGCCAGTATGTACGATCTTTCAATTCAAACTTTAAATAAAAAACCACTAAAATATTGACATGATCAAATACCGTTAAATCTCAGAAATTACCATAATCGTATTAAGAAAAAAATCATCCAAATGATAATAATGATTTAGGATTTTATGGGGTCATTTGGAAGTTGCGATTGTCAAATAGATATTTTGTTGTGAATGCATGTATAATATTATATATGTATTGTCGGATTAGATGCATTGTATGTGTCACATAAGCTAAAAGTTTAGACAAAACAATCTCAACTCAACTATGTCAACAATAACAACTAATAGTTGATATCTAACAATCACTCATTTTGATTGATAGTTTCGGTCACATCACAGATGTAATCCATGAATTGGTTCTACTAAAAAATATAAAATATGATGCATTCTAAACAATACATGTATTGTAACAATCTCAACAAAACAATCGCAACTTTCAAACGACCCCTTAATTGAAATGGAAAAAATCTATCAAATATAATGTCATCTCCTAAAGTAAAATCAAAACTCAACAGGGCCAAGAATACCCACTAAGCAAAGCATAAGGGCAATTATTTCACACTATCTCATTTTCCCCCTCGTTTAAATATGTCCTCTCACTCTCTCTTATGTCTTGTTCACTTGCCAATTTATTTTCTGTTTTCTGGTGTAACAAAAATAAAAAAATAAATTGTAAGAAATGTGTTCACTTGCACTTTCATTATCGTTGGAAAAAATCATGGGGAATAAAAGAGGCAGTTGGGCGGAAACAATAAAACATCATTTGCTGGAAAATGAGAGACGGATTTCCCCCGTTGCCCATTGGGTTATGCCCCCATTCCTTTTAATGAGCCCAGCTTTCGAATCCCTCGGCCACATTTTTTTCTCCTTTTGTTAACTTAGACCAACGACGTCGTTTTGCTAACCCCAGCTCCCATGGTTCTTCTGCCAGCCTCCCACAAACTCGACCTCCCCATCGAACGAAGCTGCTACAGTCCGCCTCTTCTTCCTCTAGCGAAGGCAGAGAAGATTGATCTGGCGAACTCCTTCTCTAGTCGGCAAAGCCCCAGCGGCGGAGGACGGGTTTGCTTTGAGATGCGTGCCAGCAGGTATTACCCTTCCACCGCTAAGTTAATCATTCTCAAAGGCTTAGATCCTCGAGGTCATATCAACAGAGGTGTGGATTAGGATGGATTAGACAGTGATGGCTACACTTGCCCAGCGGGTCCTCGATAATCCTTTTTGTTTTTCCATCTCTCTCTCTCTCTCTCTCTCTCTCTCTCTTCGAGCTTTGTATCTCACCACTCTCCCCCTTTCCTTCCTCTTTCTTCCCACCGCCTGGAATTGAGAGAAACCTAGAAACATCCTAATTATTTATCCAATTTTGCGTTCGAAATGCTTCTTCTCCATTCACAATCGATAGTGTGAATCAGAGGACCTGAAACATGGCAAACAAATGGCCGCTTATTCCTCTCAAATGACGCATTTCTCCATAAAACATGAGTGCACCAATATAGACTATGTGGTGCTCGCACTTGTGCGTGAGTGCTTGAAGTTTAAGTCAGGCACAACTCATGAAGCATTCATACTTGTATAGGGTCGATCCATATACATTGTCTTCATGGTATGCTCTAACTGTGTCTGCGTATAGTTACATGCATTCTAATAATTAAGTTTTTACCTATTCACAACACCAAGATAAAAAACAATCATAAATGCACCTAGTATTTGATTTTGACTACATGATAAAATACTACATTTAACCAACTACCACCGATGCCATAAATAATAAGTATATCTCTAAATCATACATAA